ATGCCACAATGAGGTAGAAATATTTTTGGCTCTAAAAGCAGTTGCCTTATTTCTAGGAGATATTCGTATTTGGTACAAACCAGCACGCTTGGACCACATAGAAGGTGCTGATTGTCCTGAAGATCCTTAATAACGAAACCATGAGCATCAAAGCAGATGGAAACATTATTATCTTATGTTAATTTGGAAATAGACAAAAGGTTGTGAGACAACGACAGAACATGCAGAAGATTGTCAAGATAGAGCTTACGGGCTGAGTCCGGTAATGGTAGGATGCCTTGTCCGGGGTTCTGAATCGGCACCGTGCTCCCATTTGTAATGGAAACAGAATCAAGTCCATTGTATGGAACTAGTTGAAGATTAGAAGCATCTTAAATCAGATGTGACGATGCTCCGGAATCCAGTACCAACTCGACTGTAGCGTTGTGTTGTTGATGAGAAAGATGAGCTATGGGATTCAACGACGTTGAAGGAGAATATTGAAGGTTTCATCGATACCAACAATTTAATGCTGAATGACAAATTTTACCATAGATTTGGCACGTGGGTCGATTGATTGTTGATGTTGTACCTTGATTCTGAGAACTGAAATTAGATGGAGGACGAGAATTTAAGCCTCGACCCTGCAATCGATTGGATCATCCACGAGCTTAGTTGTTGCGGTTTGAAAGAAGAACTACGGTGTCCGGTTGTTGTTGAGTGTCTTTAAGTTTCTCGTGTCCGAGATTTATCTCCTCATTACATAGTAGCGAATAAAGAACATCTAAGCTGATAGGATTCAATGATGTTCTTATAGCCATCTTGAATGGATTATAGATTGTTAGAAGATTGTTTAAAATATATAATAAGATGTCTTCAGCATCAATAGTTGATCCGGTTGCAGCAATATTGTCCACGATCGTCTTGATCTGAGCGAGATATTGTTGCATTGTATGATCTTTCATTTGAATTTGATGAAGCTCATTATTGAGTTGAATAACATGAGATTTATTAGTAGGTTGTAATAGTCTTTCAATAGTAATCCATACCTCATGAGCCGTGGCAAGAGTGAGGACATATGGAAGCACTGATGAGGAGATTGTAGACAACAAAGCAGATATGAGATTGCGATCAATGAGCTTCCATAGATTGCATTCAGTTGCTGAAGTTTTAGGAGGATAGATGGAGAGACCAGTGAGATGGCCGCTATAGTCATTTGCCAAAAAGTGTTGATACAATTGAATAGGTCATATAGCATAGTTCCATTAGTGAGTTGGGTGGGAACAAGATTCTTGACATTTGATATGAGGAATTTGAGGAGCGGGTACAGTAAATTCGGCTAAGGAAGCTGAGAGGTTTGAATTCGCTGGAGAAGATGCCGCAGATTCTTATTCATCCATTGACGGATCCCGGAGCTGTTGAGCGACAAAGCTCTGATACCATCAGAGAACTAGTTTCCTAGTATATGAACTAAGAGATCTAGATGTACAAAAAAGAGATACAGGAGGAAGATGAATAACCTCTTCATTCTCACTTAGATCTTGATACAGGGATGTATTTATAGACAAGGAAAGAAGTACAACAACTATCAAGAAGAGTGAAAGACATGGTCCGTTATGTACAGCAATGCCATGTCAGCAATTAGTTACAAAGCGTGTTCTAAGATTGTTGACGTGGGCACGTGCTCTAACAATTACTACCCATATTTATTCTTCCAAATTGCATTTACAATTCAATTCTTCAAATTGATTTAAATTTTTATTAACATTATATTATCATGCCTTAGATTTATGAATTATAAACTATTCAAGACTAATAATGGGCGGGAGAATATTTCTCTCAATCTAGCTTTCATATTAGTTTAAATTTTAATAGGACTTTCAGAAAGATTGTCTTGGTCACCCTGGAATCCGGGTTAATATCTCTTAGTATTTCACACTTCTTTCATTCCTAGTATAGTACCAATTAAAGAGATCCTCAAATTTAGATATCCAATCAAGAAAAATATTTGAATTATGTCTCTTGCTAAAAGTTGGAGCATCCATATCTCTTTTATCATGCTTACAGTGGTGATCATAATGACCATCACTATGATAATAATCATCAAAAAGATTTGTAGAGTTCACGATCATCATGATAATCATTAAAACAATAATCATCAAAAACATTTGTAGGATTCCTAGGTTTTCTATAGTCTCTAAATCCTAATTATCTACCTAGAGGATTCAATATGATCTCTAAGGTTCCTAGTTGACTTAGGTCGGGAATGATGAACATCTGAATTTTATCGCAAGGACATTTCTAACAATTTGTAGTCTAATTGGCAAAGGTTGTGCACCTTGATTTTTGTGATGGTATGTCCTAAGAGAAAACAACATCAGAGACTTCAACTGAATAATTTGATGTGTCTAAAAGATGTAAAGGTTAGCTATGAGGTTGATTCCCTATGGCTTCATTAAGATTATAAGCTTCACCATTTTAATTTGACTCATTCAAACTTAAGGTACTCCATTTGGCCAAAATCTCAACTTACAAATCATTCAATAAAATTTACCTTCAAAGCATTCATATTTCTTTTCACTTATGGATATTATGAGTTATACATTTACCCTAAGCTCAACTTATTACACATTTCTAGACAAATTTTCATATGCATCTTTTAACATATCAAAATTCGTGATGACATTAACGTTAAGCAAGCACAATTAGTTTTCACGATGCAACTAATAAGATAAACTACATGCAATGTATAATTAAGCATTGTCTTAAAATTTTAATTGCAATACAAGAATTTAGAAATAAGAAAATCAATTTGGCACAAAACAGAAATGAAGATTCTCAATCAAACCTAAACCAATTCATATTCCATTGTACACAATCCAGGTTTCTCTCACGATACGGAAAATAAGCTTCCCCGCTAACTCAGACACTTATATTGATATAATTTAATGTTTTAAAAAAAATCTCAAAATAGTTTCCAAATTATTTGTATGGACAATTTAACCCCAGAGGATCACGTTGCCCCAATTTTGTGTCTAAACTATACAAAATTGATTAAAATAGTCCCTCATGTTATAATTATGATATAAATTTGATTCCAATTTAGTCCCGAATGGACCATTTTGGATCAATGTTGTATAGTCGAGGGACTAAATTGGAACAACGTTATCCTCTGGGAATAAAATTAACATATACATGAATAGTCGAGAGACTATTTTGAAATTTAACACTTTATCTTCTTTTTTTTTTTTTTTGTATGGAAATAAACTATACACAGCATTAGATTAGCCAAATAAAAGAAAAAAAAATAAAACAATTCAACTAATGATGACAACAGATGGAAGAACTATGAACTTCCAACTCTTAATTGATGCTTTCAACAAAAAGCACATCCTTTGGAAGATTTAACCGCAAACATGAGGAACATATGGTGACGGGGCTGACAATGGTAGTCAAAGTGATACTCACGACGGCATCAAAAGTTCATAAACAACAACAATAACATCAAACAATTATCCCACTACATGAGGTCAACATCAAAAGTTCATCGTTTTAAAATTACAATGAACTGCATAGCAATTGCGCAATGCGCGAAAGGCTAGAGCACACAGAGAGATAATAAGCATGGCAAGCAATATCACAGCATCAATGTCGAATTGGGTGCAAGAGTCTGCAAAGCACGGGGCCATATAGAAGAGCAACCACAATAATGCAATAGATCTCAAATGGATACAGGATTCATTACAACAAACTTCAATGGAGCACATACATGATGCAAGACGTTTGCATGTTATATAATGTAGGGATAAGATTTCAGGATGAGTGACGAGCATTTATGAACTTTCCAAATACGGGACTTATGAGAGATTGTTGAAGCAAAGAGTTGTATGATTTAGGGAATGTTAGATCTTCACTCCTTAATCACAAAATTAATAGAACAATCAAACTAAAAACAGTGGTTACATTTCGGATATGGACTTGGAGGTGAATTTGAGGACTTCAAATTATGAGGCAAGGTTGGTGTAGAGGAGAAAGAAAAAACGTTAGAAGCAAAATATAGAAAATTATAGGAAATAAGAAAAAAAATTGCAGAAAGCAGCCACCACGCTGGAAGTCTAAATTTTTTCATGACCTTCATGACCAAAAAGAAACTTTTCTTATAAGACGAAGGTTAAGAATTATACAAGATTATTATTTAGGTTACTAGCACCTTCTATCCAGCAAGATGATGTCTTACAGTCCGCTTTCTACCTTAGAACTACCAAACATGTAATCATACTATAACATAATACTAAATTCTATCATGCATAAATTGGCACATCAAAGGAAGACTGACATCCATAGGAATTCTTGGATAAAAAAATCATGAAAAGTAGGAAATGACAAATCAAAGAATCTTGATTCTATAAATGAATAAGAATAGTCCAATCTAGAGATAAGTGTATGGTATCGTAGTTCAACATTGCAAATAAGTACTTTCCCATGATTCAAACTATTGACAAGAGCAACCTAATGATTTGCTCTTAGGTCCACCCTCTTTATAAATAATATGTGAAATGCTAAAAAATGTGCAAATGGATCTTTTCTGTTGATGCATGAAGTGATGGGGCATAACTAACATCACAAGGAAGAGGATATTCTATAGTTTCAGGTTAACCAAGAGTCCCCATATTTCTTCTGTAGATCTATATCATTATTCTCACTCGAAGCTGCTGCCGAAAAAAGAGCAATAGATTAGAATACTATTTTTCAGTTTTTTATTTTTATTTATTTCTTTTTTTTTTTTGTATTTTGAATCACCTAATAATTATAGGAGTCGAACCCGCGAGGTCATCGCAGCACCACCAGAGGCAATGTTCAGAGTTATTTTTCCCATGCTTTAAATTGTAGAAATCGGCCCAACCGCTTGAATAACTTGGTTATGCACCATCTTAGAATAAACTACATTTCAATAGTAAATTCAAATCAAATTTACATTGAAACACCACATGGTTGAAGAGAACTCGATTATGTCAGCATACCTGGCAAATTTTGAGCATAAGAAGCCAAATCAACTGTTGGTGACAATTTGACTTTCCGAGCATGAACCTTTAAGATGTCTAAACGTCCCTTTGCACCAGGCGGGCGGATCCTTATCTAAAAGAGAGACCAATACAATAGAAATATGAAAACAACAAAAAATAGAAGTAAAGCAATGATGATCATATCATTGAATATAATGAATATTTCGAGCAGTTTAAATTTTCAAAATAAGGAAAAAAAAAAGAAAAACACAAATAAATGGAGAAAATGCATTCATATTTCTTCATCTCCTCATCCTCCACATAGGGTATTTACAGAATACAATGCCTACCATAAGGTAATTATTGTACTAATTAACTGCATTAAAGTACTAAACAACACAGTTTTAGAATAATTACAACTTATATTATGTATTCACAACATGTCCAGTCATTTTTAGTAAACAAAATGATTTTCTATTATATTTCTCTAGTATAATATTACCACTACCGTACAAAGTATCTCAAAAAGGCAGAGATTTCAAAATAATACAAACATTCAAAACTTCAGTTATGGCATCATCTTCACTAACAGGTGCAAATCTTTTCAACCACTAAATAGAAGCACAGAACATACATCATACACAAGTGTATTAAGATAAACAGGATGTAGTTTGCTAGATATAAACTCTATGGAAAATTATTAGCAATACCTTTCGGTCAAAGCGACCAGGTCGAAGAAGGGCTGGATCTAGCAGGTCCCTACGATTAGTAGCACCCAAGAATATTACACCTTTTCCAGTATCAAACCCATCAAGCTCAATCAAGAGCTGATTGAGTGTAGTCTCTCGTTCTTGTGTTGCAGCATTATAAAGGTGGTTGGTCGACTCTTTAAAAATACCTTGACGCCTATTTGTATATCACAGGTGTAAATGCTTATGGATTAAGAAAAACAGTTATGGACATAAAAATTCAAATGCATTTCTCTCAAGTTCATAAAAGATGCCTGAGAATAAGGATGCCCTTTCAATTCAAAATTCCAAAGAGTTCTCAATGATCTTACTTGTAAACTTTAAATAAATCTACAGATTAAGGATTTTGCATTATGCATCTTTTTGTAATACAAAGGGCCGCTTAACTAGTATTCTAAATAAGTTTGATAATTTCATTGTTGTTAAATTTACCAAAAATGCGAGCGGCATGTTAAAAAGCACCAGTCAAAAACTTGGCTATCAACAAGATGTACCGATCTCTTTAGAATTAAAAAAAGGTATTGTGAGGCATGAGATTGCGAAATTAAAAGATTCAAGGAATGAGCAGAAGGCAATACCCTACACTAATTTCATGATTCAATTCTATGACCATCACACCATACATGCAACCAGAACAATATTCATTTCCCAAGTCCAACGACCTTCAAGATAGAATCAACTTACAATAAATCAATTTAATTACATCATTACTAACTTTTTATTTCACATTTTAAAAGTTGCAAAATCACACTATTTAGAATAAACGAAATGTCCTACTGAATGGCTTAATTCATCCGCGGTGCCTAACACCAAAATTCACTGTCTCAACTAGTTCTAATACCAAGTTAATACCAAGAATAATATAATGCTTCTATTTCAAAGCTAACTAGAGCCTTTTCCGCTAAAGTTAAATAGAGAAACAGAACCGTATGCAAACTTTTTTGCTTATGGTTAATTTTTTCTTCAAAAAACATTAAGATCTATTAGATAAGTATCAGTATCATTCAATTTCCATTTGACTGTTTCAAAAGAGATTGCCACAAGCACAAAATTGGAGAGCGAAATGACATAATAAACAACCCATACCTAACTTAACTCCTTCCCTAACCGCCCCCTCCTTCGAAATCCAATTCAAATAGTGCACCCACCCCCCAAGGGGGACGGGCTGCAGCAGAGGCGGACCTTTAGTACTAATAGAGTAAACCCAGGCCAGCCCTTTGCACATGGCCGGTTGGACCGGTCCAACACATACCCTACAGTTAGCCTCCATCTATCTATGGCAACTTAAAGCATCTCTATTACTCTAACAAATAAAAGTGAAAGACTCCAAGCCATAAAGGCCCAATACAGCCAAATAGAGAGGCACAGTTTTTGAAACAAGACACTGTTTTTAAATCATGTAAATTTTTTTTTTTAGCTTCAGCATATTGACACTCAACAGCAAGCCTTTATCCCAACACGTGTGGTCGGCTACATGAATCCTTTTTCTCAATTGCTCATGTTAAGAATTAAATTCTCATTTAAATCTAAATATATATACACTTGCAAAATATTAAAAACAAGAAACAACAATTCATCCAAAACTTTAACAAAAAAATACCAGTCAAAATGCAAAAAATATATAAGAACTCCATATCTTATAGTAAAATCAATCACGCACATAAATCATTTCTTACTTTTTTTCTCATTTGAAAATAAGATCATTACCTGGTGACTACCAAATTTTATAACCAAGGTTAAGAAAAATTAGCATAAAAAGCATGACAAAAATAACACAAAAAATGCATTTATAAGCAACATTATACGTACAGTATACTTAGACAAACTTGTTATGAAAATGTAGTAAGAAAAAAGTGTCAAATGAAGAGTAGAAGTGAATTGTTGCCTTAAACACGAAAGAAAGATCCCAATGCTGCACTACAAATTTGAAAGAAAAGAAAATAAAGGACTAAACAAAAAAGAAAAAAAAGTATTACATTATTACTCTTTGTATGAACTATGATGAAAATTGCAAAAACAACTATTATATTAATAATAGCTAGAGTCCTGTAGAATGTTTAACTGAGACAAAAAAAAAAATTAAAAACAATGGAAAATTTCTAGGGAACTTCAAAGAATTTCGCAATGTTTAAAATTTCTCTCTAGTAAGTATCAGTTCTACGAAGAGACCATTGAGGTGATCACCATTTTAAAATTAATCGCACAGTTCAAGGCTACCTAGCTACTGCCTTACCCTAACCCAAGCAACCTATGCAAAAATGATGTAGCAAGGGATATAGGGAGCCTATATCTCTTGATCACAAGAAGGAAAACTGACACAATGAGAAGAACTTAAAACAAATTTTATTAAATAAACGCAAACGACCCAAAACTTGACAAACACAACAAAAGATACTAGGAGATTTTAAAGAAATAAAAAAAACGCTATCCTCAGACAACCGTCAGAGCGGGTTCCTCACATGCATCGAATTTGTAGGATAAATAAGTAAAGTGCATAGAACTAGCAAACCGATGGTCCACCACTGCAAGACTGTCCCAAATGCTTCCAAATCAACCAAGACACGACACCTAAAGTTGCTTCACTGTTGAGAAGAAGGATACAGATGGAGTGGCACTTGCGGAGAGACGAAGAGGTTAGAAGCCCGAGAAGAAAGGGTGGAAAGAGCCCGCAGGATTTCCGGAGGGGATGAGAAAAGAAGGTTGGAAAGAGCCCGCAGGATTTCCGAATAAACCCGCAGGTTAATAGCAAATATGCTCACAAATATCAACTGCTTCCCTTCACATCATCATCTCATTTTTATAGGCAAAGTAGGAGAATGCCAAAAGCCACCTTAGTTAATGTTCACAACATCCCAAGCTTCTTTTTTCATAAATTTCCAAAAGCCATTTCGAAAACAGCCCAAGCTATTTCGGAAAAAACAGCCCAGCATAAATTCTGTTTCGGAAATCATAGGTAATTCACGGCAACAAGGAGTCAAGTAGGCCGAAATTCAAAGCAGCAATATTTCAGGAAAAGCATTCCATTAAGGAAAAAACAAAGGCTGCTGAATTCCCAAAGGTAAAGCATTAAAATCAATAACTCCCTCATAAATATTTTGCATTGAAATTAGCCATAAATAAAGAGCAGGCCACGGTTTTTTCCAAGAAGAAATGGGGGAGGTAATGCTTTGAATTCTGCCATCACTAAAGAGCAAGCCACAATGCATTGAATTCAGCCAAATTAAGAGCAGGCCATGGATTCCCAAGAGACAAGAAGAAAAGGGGAAGGGGAAGGGACAAGGCCACTCCAAAAGTAAACTCTTCTTAATGAGGTACCTTTTTTGGATAATAATGAGCTACTAAACTTCAGCTCAAGCAACTTAGAAAATTAGCTCAAAACCGAATGCTCCAAAACAGCCAACCCGTGAACCACCAGCAGCTAGGGACCAATCGAGCCAGCAAACCAAAGGTCTACCAAGCCATATGCACTACCTACCATGATCATTGGATGCTTTCCCATCATTGGATAGCTAAAAAAGAAAAGAAAACAAAATACAATATTGTTCAAATAAAATAAGAGGTACATAGATTCTTGATAGCATCAAAAAAGTAGCTAGCACTAAAAAAATTATGCTTTTATAAAAACGCAGTTATACTACATCTAGTAAAATCAAGTGCTAGCATATAAAGACCAATGTTTTTATAAAAAAATTTATTTCTCTTGCACAAAGTGATATCAACAATAATTACTATGCTCCACGGATTTATCAAAGAAACCAAATCATGTGTCCTTTATAACAATCAAACATTTTTTTTATTCAAATATTTGTGACACCTCACATTTGCAATGAATGCTACTGCTTGATGTTGCTTATTTAAATAAATTCATAGTACAAGCACATATCTGCAACCATAACTCGTGTCTTGGTAGAAAAGCACGATGTTTTTCACTTGAATGCAAATCTCTCGGATATAAAAATCTAAAGGTCTTTCTTTAACCCACACAACTTATAGCATTTCCATACCTTTTTTAATTATAAAAAAATGTCAAATGAAGAGTAAGAAGTGATTTGTGATGACAGAAAAGATCATAAAAAGATCATAATGCTGCACTATGAATATGAAAGAAAAGAAAATAAAGGACAAAGAGGATGTTTAATTAGCTGAAAAAAGAATGCAGTGTAAAAAAGAATGCAGTGTGAAAGGAATACAACTAAGTTGTTTGGATGAGTGCAAAGTAAATGCAGGTTAATACATTTTTTGTTTGGTTTGAAATAAAATAAATATAGTGCAAAGTACAAAGATGGTGATGGCTGGCGGATGGTGGCAGTGGTTGCCAGTGTTAAATGGCAATAGTGGTGGCGGGCGGTGGTGGCGAGTAACTGATGCAGCGGTGGCCGACGGCAGAGGAGGCCAGTAACGTAGTGGCCGACGAAGAGGCCAACCAGTGAGGGGTCGCTGCAACGAACAGCAATGGTTGGGGCTGCGGTGGCCGACAGCTGTGATCAGAGGCAGTGGCTAACTATGATGATCAACTAGGGGTGTCAATATTTGACACGACACGACAACCCGACCCGGACCCAACCCGGAAAATCCGGGTTGGACCCGACCCATTTGATAAACGGGTCGGGTTCGGGTTCGGGTTCACAGATTTGACCTGTTTGATAAAACGGGTCGGGTCGGGTTGACCCGGCGGGTTACCGGGTCAACCCGAAAACCCGTTTAATTTAAGAAAATAGAGAAATGTTTCTATACAAATGAGTTCCCCGATGCTCATTTGATGGATTCCTCAGCCACTCCATAACAAGCTCCTTATCCTTGCCCCGCCCAATGAGATCATTTTTAGGCAAGGATCTGTTTCACGTGCTCCGTGCAGCTCAAGCTGCTGCTTCTGAAGCTCCTGCTTTGTGTCTTTTACAAGATGAAGGAGAGTATCAACACCAGTTGTTGTAACTTTATCAAGTTTCTACACAACCGTCTCCAGTCGCTTTAAGGTGGGATTAATTTTGAGAGCACGTTTGCCAAATTTTATGAACGCTGCTGGGTCGCGGGTCGGGTCGGGTCAACCCGGCAACCCAGCCGGGTTGGGTCCGGGTTGAAATGTCCGACCCGTTTGTAAAAACGGGTCGGGTCGGGTTCGACCCGAACCCGGCGGGTTGACCCGAATTGACACCCCTATGATCAATGGTGGTTAGCGACGTTAGCCGGTGGGTGACGATGGTCAAGCGAGCTTGCTTGTGGTGTAAATGGTCCTAGCTTAAAACAATGCGAGTTTACTTTACCTCAAAAATGAACTAAAATGATTTCCACTACATTTACTTTACATTCTTTTTTCATCCAACCAAACACCAAAATTTTTAAACCCTTCCATTTGAAATACTTTACACCCATTTTACTCTCAACCAAATAGCCCCTAAATAAAAAAGGATAAAAATGATTGCATTATTATGATTTGCAATGACTACAAAATTGCAAACCCAATGATTATAATCATAATAGCTCAAGTCCAGTACAATGATCGGTGCAATCAAAAAATTAAAAACCGATGGAGCAATTCTAAAAAGGCATCTTCTCTAGTACACAACCGTTCTACAAAGATGCCATGATGTGATCAAATTTTTAAATCTAATCATGCAGTTCAAGACTTCCTAGGTAGTGCCTCACCCGAGCACCCTACGCATAAAGGAGCTAGCACTAAAGGAATTATGCTTTTATTAAAAATACAGTTTTTCACACCTAGTAAAATCAAGTGCTAGCGCCAAAAAAATTTTGCTTCTCTTGCACGAAGTAATAAAAACAATACTATGCCCCAAGGAATTACCAATAATACAAGATCATGTGACTTTTATAGATGTAACCCCCAATCCAACAGTTATTTTGAAAAAAAAAATTTGTGATACTTCGCTATGGAAATGAATCTACTGTTCTACATTCATAGAACAAACACCATGTCACATTAACAGCAACCATGACTCATTTTCAGTACAAAAGCATAATGCTGTTCTCTTGAATACTAATCTCTCCAATATAAAAATAAAAGGTCTTGCATTAACCCACTCAAGTTAAAAAGAGTATTTCCTTCACTTTTTAAACTCTCAATTTCGTTTAGATAAAGGAAAATGCATAAAAATAAATCTTTCATTCAGCAAATTGCTTATTTAGCAGCTCCGACTTTATAATTTCCAAAGAGAAACCAGGATTGTGGGCAATTTTAAACAATTATGCTAGAACAAAATTATGACTGTGGTCACAATTAGAATTGGAAGTTTTAAAATGGTTGCAAGGTTTTACAATAAATTCTGACTTATCTTCCAAATTTGTTCCAGAAATAAGAATACCTGGTTGCCAGTGCATCTATTTCATCTATAAATACAACAGATGGTTTATTCACCTGTATAATCACGGGATAAAAGAAATGAATATAAATTGAAGCCCAATTTTGCCATCTAGAAAGAAAAAAAAAATAGTAAGAACAAAAGATTTGTATGAAAGATGACCTACAATCACAATCCTAGCAATAAAAAAAAATTAGGGATTGCACTCTTTACTTGAATTTCAAAATGCAATCATCCCTCAAAAATGTCTTATATTTCTTCAAGAAGTAAATTTCTCATAGCTGAAGTTCAATTTTATAAGAATAAGAAGATATTGTACAAAATTTGCTGCTTCTAGGTTTTACTATTTTAGGAAATTTTATAAATGATTCATGGCATCTGAATGCTCATGAGCGGTAATTTAACTGGTCCCAGAAAATTAGGATTTGGACTACTAAAATCAACAGCATATCAAACATGTCGAGTTACAATGCCTTAGCATCTTAGGCACACGATGAGATGACATGGTTGAGATCTACAAGCAGATATTTGTCATAAACAGCAAGCAGAAAAATTATCGGAGCTGTTTTTGTAATATTCCAATTAATTTGAAAAGGTGCCATAGTAATGTTCCCTATGAGAATTGATACACTCGACAATTTTCTGATTTTTCTAGACCGGTTCAATTCGCTTATGTTGCTTTGAAGTTAGGTCTGAAGGTTTAAGTGACCGGAACATTATTGTGGCTGTAAACTAATATAAAAGGCATAATGTGATTTGATGGTTCATGGGATTTGATGTTTACAGATTGGTTCACATGTTTCTTGAAATTAGCTGTGTTGGGTCATATATTCCTATTGTTTTACATGTGGAGCTATCTATTTGTGTGTGGAGTTTGGAGATATGTTATTTGGATTTACACAATCACACCTATTCTTATTTGTAGCGCTATGGTTCCATGAATATTTGGATTTACCTACTACAACTTTAATGGTAGCTTTAAAGTTATCTAGTTGGAGTTTATGGGCACCAAAAAATCACATCCATCTCTCCTGGGAGTTTGTTTTCAGGTTAAATTTTCATAAGACATTGCATATGAGTCACAATCCAAAGATTTATCGCTCATTTTACGAGAGCTTTAAGAACTTGTTCTAAGTTTCTTATAGGTATAAGCCCATATGATCAATCAACCCTCCAGATGATAATAGAAAAGTTTCAATTAATGTTATCATTCAATGCTAAGTGCTTAAAATATAGTAGCAACAATTTTGGTTTTGCGATTGAAACAAATATACCACATTTAGCATAAAGTGGATGGTGAGGGAAACGGTGAGGAGCCCAATGCCATCTCAAATTGTTATGGATATTGGTCTACTTAACGGAAATAATAGACCAACCCTAACCAAAAGATTCTTGTCGGCACCATGGGTTGCATCGTCCTAAGAAAATTTATAGACCAAGAATTGTCTGATGATAAAATTTTGTATACTTGCACATATCTTCTAGGTGCTTAACAGTTAACTAGCAAATCATGATAGAGAAACTAATTAAATGATCCAAGAGATACAACTAGTCTAAAACTCACTGGGGAACTTGACCACTATGATCAATAAGTGCTACTCGCTCAGGCCCACAAAGTACCCCACCCTTTCATGAGATGAGTCAGAGATTCCTCATCAAGCTAGCTCAACACTCACCACATGCTTGGACTAGGGGTGACTGTTGGCTCAAGAAAAAATGCACGAATGCGTGAATCCCGCTTTGCAACTATAGGATTCCAATTCCCTCAAGTCAGATAGCAATTAACCAGATTTCCCCTGAGTGTAGTTTTAGGGTTTAATTAGATACGGGGTCCTTACTTCCCATGAGCACAAGCACTCATAGTTAATTACCCCTCTTAACACGTAAGAGAGAACTCTCGATTAAGGATGAATAAATTTTAAGTAATTTAATCTCAATTATGGGGAAGATGGAGATAAATCCGACCAAGATCTCATGGTTCCATTGTCTCAGGTATACCATAATTTCAGTCTACCAATACTAACAATCATTAATTGTATCGTCTAGGGAATCTGATTAGCATCCATGGGTTATCTCCTCTCAGGAATTCCGAGTAAACTGAAGTATTTAGATGTTGATTTTAGTTTTAATTTTGTTTGGGGTTTGAGGTTTACATCTAATAGAATACCCAAAAATTAATTTAGTTTGTGATTTAAGACTTCATTTAAAAGTAACCCAGGAATTTGGATTAGAGCGGGACTTATGACTTCTTTAGGAAGTAATCCAGGTATTTAGATTTAGGTTGGGACTTACTGCTTTCATAGATAGTAGCCCAGGGATTTGATTTGGAATGGAGCTTACTGCTCTATTTATGAGTTGCCCAAAGATAGATCTTACAACTTAACTCTACAGCAAGGCTACGCGGAGGTTTTTTATTTATTTGGGTAGCACTTATGATTTCCCTTAGAAAATTGTCTAGTTTTTTGTAGGATTGTTAGGATCAATGTACTTCATTTTAAAATGTTTCCCTAATACATGGGACTTGAGACTTAACTTAAAAGTGGCCTACTAGTGGGTCTTACAACCTAACCCTATAGGTTAGGATGCCCGAAAGCTTTAATTGTTTGGGTAGGAGATCCTACGATAGAAATTCTACATACTTTCAACATAGGAATTAGTATAATAATTATTGTATTTCAAAGCATTATTTAGAGATGAAATTCTCTCATGAGGCTTTTACCTTGATTTTTCAACAAGGGATATCCGTGTGATTAAATTTGGGTAAGAACTTATGGCTTTCATTAGAAAGTAGCCAGTTAGTGGAACTTACGACCTCTACTAAGGGTAGCTCGAAGGTTTAGTTGGATAGGTCTTATTGCTTCTTTAGAAGTTGCATAATGATGGGTCTTACGACCTAACCCTATAAGCTAAGTGGCCCGAGTGATGGGTCTTACATCCTAACCATATAGACTAGGATGTCCGGGTGAGGGGTTTAGGGTTATGTTATTACCTAAAGTTTTCCTCTTAAAGTCGAACTTATTGCTTTCCTTTGAAAGTTGTCAGGTAGTGAGTTTTACAACCAAGTTCTTATAAATAAGGCTGCTCAAAGATTTTGAATTTTGATTGTTTGAGTGGACAATAGTTATTTGACACTAAACCACCGTGATTTTGATACTTGACAGTGGTCGCTTTCTACCTTAGCTTTTTTCAGTAGTATGTTCGTTGTTTTGTGCTGGTAGCTTTTTCTAACTGCAGTAGTCCACTACTTTACTTTAGCATTGTTGTGTTGTTTTTTACACGCTTCCAGTACTTTGGTCTACCTGCATTAGCTATATTTTTTTTTTCAACGTTGATTTAATTTATTTATGATGCAATGATTCTTGTTTGCTTGTTTGCAGGAAAGTGGTACTTACAGTTGTTCAGGGAGCTCACATATAGTTGCAGGAGACATTGTTGAGTGTTGAGAGTCTCAATTTGTGTTGTGGGGAGTTTTGTTTTATGGCTTGGGAGTTTTGTTTTAAGAGTTAGAGAGCAGTTGTTTGTTGGGTTTAAGTTGTATTGTTGTATATGTCAACTTAAGATATTTGATAAAAAAATAAATACTCACTAGTAAAAAAATTTAAGATAAAAATATTAAAAGAATCATTTTGGGGTCAACAATGGGTTCGCGAGCCAACCTGAACCTAGATTTTTTTACTCCGGTTCAAATCGATTGGCAAGTCGGGTCATTTATTTACACTCCTCACATGGACCACCATCTCAATAAATCACTCTCTCCCAAAGCGATCCTCCTCATGAAAGATCTCCAAGCTTTGCTACAAAAAGATGCCTATTTACGAGCTTCCGACCTCGCCCCCTTTTCAATCAATCAAAGGGTGACACGTGTATATGGAAGTTTGCGTACCATTGTACGGATATTTTATGTAGCGTTGTAAGAATTCTCATGGCGGCTCTTTGTAAATGCATGGTTGCTTTCACGATCTCCAACGACTTACAATCGTCGAAGGTGACAACCAAATATGTTGACCATATATTTATTGGCTACTATTATAATAATTCCACATTATGAGTTAGCGTACCATCGGAGGAAAAGCACCTTAACACTTTTTATGTAGAGAAACTCTGCATTCCCTCCAAACATTTTAAGGACAATAACCCCTTTGGCGCGAGTTCATAGATATCATAAATTTACTATGGAATCGTTGCTGCACAAATTCTTCCCAAATCAATAGCGAGTGTCATCTTGTTCATCTCCTTTCTATGGATACACAAGCTTCCTTAGAAGTTGACCCTGTTCCACCGCATCTTTCACAATGAAGGCATTCAAAGATGGTTACGCTCAATTCTCTTCCACAATGATGTGGACTAGCGGCATGGCAAATAAGATGCAGGTCATGAAACTTAAGTTCGTGTTCATGCATAACTCTATTGAGTGGTTTATGCCGACCTCCCCAATCTTGTTGCCAAAGAGTGAAGTGGTTATCCCTGCACTGAATGAGGGGACAAAGACAATGAACTTCCTCTTGGGAAAATCACTAATTTTGCAACAACACAGTGTTTTCTACAATAAGAATCCTGAACTAACCTTAGTTTTTTTTAAAGTTTGTTTTGGTCGCCCTAATATGTTTGTTTTCCTTGTAGATGGGATACCAAGTTGCAACTTCCCACTAAATCTGTAGTACTTGGGTGAAAACACTCCCTCAGGGGAAGAGGGAGGAGGTAAGAAGCGAGGAGGACCATCCTCGAGTCCAAAGAAGGCGGCAAGGAAGAAGACAAGGATCAAGGTGGAGACTAGTGCTCACCAGAAAGAGCCGACGAGAAAGAAGCCTGTGACAAGTACCAAGCCACTGAACCTTCAAAAGGGAAAGGGAATACCATAACCCCTATGGAGAATATGGCCAATGTACCTCCTTCAGCGACGCGTAGATGAATCATCATCGACGAGGAAGCAGCCAAGAAGAGGATCAACAAAAAAAAGCTATTCGCAAGATCAGACACTCATGTCGGGCAATGCTAAGCAAGTCATCTCTGAGGTCGTCAAAGAAGCAGACAAGAAAAAGGATTCAAGCTTCTCCAC